ATTGTCTTCCCCGTAATCTCAAGATTCTGAGGACATAAAAGTGAATTCCTGTAGCTAATAAAACTGGGAGAACTTTTATAGTCAATGGTTCTCAAAGTTCTTCTAGCTCTTAAACTTTGATTTGATATTGCTAAACACTTTTCAAAGTAAATGAGGTATTGATTTTAATTTTTAAAAAAGGATTTGAAAATAGAATAAGTAGGAGTTTTGAGCTTATATTATGTGTGAGGCAGTCAAATAGATACTTTAAGTTTATAATTCTAGACTCATAGTAAGAAGGTTTCATTATCTCCTGTTTTACAGGGAAGGGCACTGAGACTTAAAGAGGCGAAGTCACTTGTCCAGGGCCACACAATGGTGGAATTAGAGTTTAAACCCACATACCCACATCTATCTGGTTTTAAAATCTTTTCTATCACACCAAACTGTTATCAGCAATAAAAGCAAGTAACATTATAATCATTATAAAATATTATCAAAAAGGATTTACATTCACAGACTTTTATTACTCACAAAGTACCTTTTTACTATGGGTAGCTAAAAGGGTATCTGGACCTTGAATTAACTCCAAGGAGACTATGTCTGCCTGTTCATTCCTCCAAGGGTCTGCCAGCTGTTCTTAAGCCACACTCATTCTTGGCTACAGAAGTTGGACGATGGTCCCTTCCTAAAAGCCAGATGCCTGATATGTGACATTTTCCAGTTTGAGGGAACTGATAGGGTGGAACAGATGAATTTCACTGCAATTTATAAGTAGGCAAAATTTTCTATTTGTATTTTCCTTTTTTTGTAAAGAATTGATAATTATCTACAGTTAATAGAAGATAAAGAAAATTTTCCAAAATGTAAATGAAATATTAATTTAAAAGTGGAAAGTGATTTTTCTTTTTAAATTTCAGGGAGTTTTCACTGATGATTGCATAAAAGAGACTCTAGACAGCTAAGATCCAATTGACACATGAAAAATTAAAAGCTGGAATTTAAGTTTTAAAAAATAGTTTTAAGGGGGAAAATGTAATGAAAAATGAGCCAAAATGTGGGAAAAGAAAATAAAAAGAAGTAAATGTAGACTGAAGAGAGGGAAATGTATAAGGAAAATAAACCTAGAGTATTTATTTGAGCAAGGATGTTTGAGCCATTTTGAAATACAACTATAAGAAAAAATGTTCCCATAGTTTAGGAATAAAGAAAAACAAATTAAAAGATATTGCTAATGGGGAAAACGGCACAGAGCCTGAAGAACTTTTTCTGTGTTTGACTAAGATTGGAAGTCGAATTAATTTTATAATTTGTCTAGAACTATTGTAATAGAAAATTGGTATATTATGATCAGAAGGTATTTGAAAGGTAACTCAGTTGCTATCCTGGTCTTAAAAGAACTATTAAATCATATTTAGTGGTTAGTTATTCTTTCAGAAGGAAAATAATAACTAACCTTCAATGGTGGCAGTAGGCTTTTAGGTTAGATAAGACCAGAGAGATAAGAGAGGCCCAGAAATATTCATTAAGACAGGTTGAAAATCTGCCTCCCTGAAGACCAATCTGGATCCATGTGGGGGAGAGAATTAGAGACTGGCAGGACTTTCAGTCATGGTCCTTTGGGAGACCGTCCAGAGGACTTAGTCACATTTGCCAATCCTCTTTGACTGTTCCTTTCAGCACTTCCTAAAGTGCTTTCCCTAAATTTGAATTTTTGGCTCAGATATTTACTTCTGATCCTTCACTGGGATTCATTGTTTGATTTAACTCTGGGTGAGGGAAGGGAGGAAGGGAAGACAGAAATTGTATCCTGGAATCAAGAAGTTTCTTCCATGCTATGTTCAAAGTAGGGAAGAGAAATACTTAGGAATGCTTCCCACAGGGTGGGAAATTTCCAACTCACCAAAGCAGATATTGGACATGCATTTGTTCAGTAATGAAATGCTATTTACTACTTATTAAGAAATAAAGTTGGAACTAAATTACTTGGTCCATTAAGACAGAATATAAAGGTAATAGATAAACAATAGAGTATTGCATGGGAACATATTTCAACATAAAAAAAATATTGAGCATCTTCATCATATTGAGGCTTGAAAAAAACTGAACACTGAAGTTCTCCAGTGACTTGAGTGAAAAAGGAATGAACTGAATCTGTCCTGAAAAGAGATGTTAAACACGAAGCAGATTCCCAGCTTTCTAAAGGCTATAAAAGCCCCTTTAGATGGAATGCAAACAAGACCCAGTTAATGCAATTCTACAAGAAGAATGCGATCCTGTTGCCACCAAAATAACACCAACACTTCTGGCTTTTAGTTAGAAGCTAGGCAAGATGATTTCGAATGTTAACCATCTCTTTTATTACTTGGCAGCTTTGGGGTATCCGATGTAAGCCACGAATAAGCCCCTCTGAAAACAAAACATCTCTTCCAGGGGGATAATTAGACTTACTAAGGGTAAATCATCCAACATCAAAGCATAGACCCTAAGATGTCACACAACAGGCACGCATCTCCCAAAACTAAAAGCATGCTTAGCATTAGAGGTCAGTGCAATAAATAAAGACGTGAAATAACTACAGCACAGGCTATAATAAAAAGTGACTGGCTTCTGAAAAGTGAATATGCTAATTATTTTCAGTGTTTGAATCAGTGCTTGGAAGCCTCTTCCCCTTTCTGATTAAGTTATTAATCATTCCTGTGAGGTCACTATTATTCCAAGGGATTTTTAATAATAGAATCAAGGATATTGCTGCTAACAGTATTAGAAATGGGGGGAAAGCCAATGGAAGGCCCAGATGGTAATAATTACATTAAGACTACCCCCTCGCCCCCAAATTATAGGACTATTTTCTCTCAAGGTCAAAATGTGCAATTTCCTTTGTGCAAAAAATGCATAACCAAGTGACCTATTATTAATCATAATGCCAAGCCCACATCTACTTTATTCATCAGTTGAATAATAATAAAGTAATCAACTCTGCTGACATTGTTTTTATTTTCAGTTGGCTGCTAAGTTATTCATAGTGGCCATTCTTTTAAATATTACTAATGAATGATCAGAGGTAGTAATTTTCTATCAAGTAATCCCAAGCTCACCCTATCAAGGACTCTTTTATACCATCAACACTAAATGGTTTGTGACAAAGGAAGATGATCTCTACATAAAGATTTTAGATTTCCTAAGGATCTTACTTAAAACACTTTGTATATCCAGCCAATTGAGGGATCTGATAATGCACAAATGCTTATTGAATTTCTTCACTTCTTTTCTCTCTCCTCGGAAAGACATGCTAACTTGCGGCGAAGTTATCAAATGGAAGACACAGGAAAAGAAGAATAAATACAAAAGGCTCTGGTCAAGGAGACATGATGGCAACAATTCCTAAATACCTGTTCAACTGGAAGTTATTCTTATAAATTAATTGTCACCCATAAAATTGTTATGAAGTCTGAAACTATTTGAGCCAACTATTTGAAAACCAGTAAAATTCAAATCTATTCCTCGTCCAATGGACTTCATTTGCTCTATACAACTTCGGTATGGTAAGGCTGAGAATTTTTGCTCTCAAAATGTATTCGGTGCCTCCACCCAACTCCACTTGCACCCTCTAGGCCCCAGTTCACGTATCTATAAGATAGAAATAACGGTACTGCCTTTCTAACACGTCTTTATTTGAGCAGGAGAAGGGATCATGTAAATCAAATGCTCATGATGAAACCTGCAGTATAGTAAGTAGCAAATATAACTGTCAGGTATTATTGCTGGTTATTAATAATGTGTACTAACCTCAGTGTATACACCACCCCAGATCAGCTCCGCCCTTCCTGCTTCCTGGGGAGAGTGGCCATGAGATGGCTCACATTATCCCTGCATCACAAGTCCCTGCCATCTCCACTAACACCCACCCCTACCAAGAAGCTCCTCACAAGCAGCAGTCACCAGGGGCTGCCTAGAGCCATCCCTTAACACAAGGCAAAGGTTCAGGAGTGATAATGTTCTATGGGGTCAAACATTGAGAGATACGAGACAGGAAAGAACCAACAGATAAATGGTTTAACTTCTCCACCTATGATGGACTGTTCTGAGGTGCAATGGATGGCCTCTCAGATGCCGCAGCAGACAGAGCCGTAGGCTGTGCCCTTTGGGATGCTCTGGTCAGCCTGGTAACCAACTTCCTCGCTTCTCTTCACCCTCCTTCTTCTCGGTCTCACTTTGCTTTATTTCTCACTCTGGATTTTTTGGAATAATGCCCTGCCAATAATGTTTGCTGAGTTCTCTCTCTCTCTTTCTCTCCCCCCCCCACACACACACTCATCTTCCTTAAATATATCCAGAAAATCACTACAGTGCCCCACTGCCTTCTCCCAGGCCTTACCATTTGGGGGCTATTATGAACCTTTCTGAACACCCACTCTTATCTCATGTGTGGCAAAGTCATACTATAAATAGGGTTATCATATGAAGAAGAAAAGTGAATTTGATTTTATTCTCTATTCAAAATAAATATAACTAAGAGCCATTTCTCTGGAAAGTTCCACTCTCCTCATAAATTTTATTATATTTTAATTTTTTAAAAATATATTTTATTGATTTTTTACAGAGAGGAAGGGAGAGAGATAGAGAGTTAGAAACATCGATGAGAGAGAAACATCGACCAGCTGTGTCTTGCACACCTCCCACTGGGGATGCGCCCTCAACCAAGGTATATGCCCCTGACTGGAATCAAACCTGGGACCCTTTAGTCCGCAGGCCGACGCTCTATCCACTGAGCCAAACCGGCTACGGCATACATTTTATTTTTTAATCATTCTTATTTTCTTAGTCTTACTTGTTTAAATGTGGTCCCAAATATAGTATTATGCAGAATCAACTTCACCTACTAAGCAGTTTTATAGTTGAATATTTGTTAAGTACATGATGGTTTAAATATTTTCAATTCCCCTCTAATTTAGTAATATATTCTTACTTGGAATACTGAACAAAGAAAATCACACATAAAGATTTAGATAGTAGGTCTAAGTCCGGGCAGCCGAAGAGTGTGGTAGGTAACGGTCGCCAGCGCAAGGGTCATTTCGTCGCTGGGAAGGGACGGCCCTCGCCCGCGGTGATGGTGGTTAGCAAGATGAACAAAGATGCGCAGATGAGAGCAGCGATTAACCAAAAGTTGATAGAAACTGGAGAAAGAGAACGCCTCAAAGAGTTGCTGAGAGCTAAATTAATTGAATGTGGCTGGAAGGATCAATTGAAGGCACACTGTAAAGAGGTAATTAAAGAAAAAGGACTAGAACACGTTACTGTTGATGACTTGGTGGCTGAAATCACACCAAAAGGCAGAGCCCTGGTACCTGACAGTGTAAAGAAGGAGCTTCTACAAAGAATAAGAACATTCCTTGCTCAGCATGCCAGCCTTTAAGATTGAATTAGATTGTGTTGTTTTGTGGTCTTATTTCTGAAAGTAAAACTTGCCATAAATTAGGAATCGCTTTCCCAAAATAAAATCCTTTTTTGTATGATGGTATACAGTTTTCGGTAATGATGTATACATTGTATTGATTTTTTTCCCTAAATGTGTTATTTTAATAAATATCTCATGAATGAGTTTGAAGTTTCCTTGGATCTTGGAATAAATGGGACTTTTCAACAATGCACCAGATTTGTTGAGAGAAAGTCATCAAATAATACAGTTTGTTAAGTATGTACATGTTTCTGTGCTAACAACTGAGGAGAAATAAGCTGCCTCTTCTGATTGTCTAGATATGGTGTGTTTCTCTGAATCCCTATACTATTTTATAATACATGTCCCATCTTGTGCTACAGTTGTCTTATGTGTTATAAACTCTGGGAGTTAGGACTGAGTCTTACTCATCTTTATGTGCCTTCCTTATTCCTCAAAGAATTTACCATCCTATTGGAAGAGAGAACATTTGCAAACTGGCTTCATACCAAGCTCCTCTCATATATCTACTCATCTGAACTTTGGAAACAGAAACTCTAAATTACATCCCCACATACTAAGGTCAAGGAAGAACTTAATGGGAAATAATCTGCACCCATAGCTTTACTCTGACATCAAGATGGCCAAATCCAATGGACTCTTGTCTGTACTTATGTGACCTCTGCTGGAAACTGAGAATGTTGAGCATCCTGCCACTGAGACTTTCCTCCCACTCCTCACAGTGTTTATTCCTACCAGAAGTTCCTTCTGTTTCTCGTGGAGTACCTTTTGCTGTATGGGACTGGAAATAATGGTATTTCTTAGGGCTTGCTCATGGGCCCTCTGCCTGACTAATGATACGCTTTTCCTGGGAAAATCCCAGGATACAGGTCGGACCATGACTTCAAATACTAACAGGTCAATAAATTGTAAATTGCATCACCAAAAAAAAAAAAAAAGATTTAGATAGTATAGTTTTGTACAGAAACACAAATGCCAAATACCGTGCAGGAAAATTTCTGAGTAATCGCAAATAGCATACTTTTCATATTAATTATTCTTCAGTACATTAAATGAAGATGTGGCCTATGTTCATTTTCTTATGAACAAAAATGTATTCAACACAAATAAATTTTTCTCAGAAAATTTACTAATAAGGCAAAATTACATTTTTTCATAGAAACAATGTTGCAAAATTATGATTAGATATTCAGATAAGCTAAAAATTATATGTACTTTATATGTGTCTAAAATATATCTATACTAATAAAATCTATACTAATAAAAGGGCAATATACTAATTAGACTGGACATCTTCTGCAAGGCAGAGATGGTTAGGGGCAATCAGGCCGGCAGGGGAGAGCAGTTGGGGCGATCGGTTAGGGGCAATCAGGCAGGCAGGCATAGTGGTTAGGAGTGATCAGGCAGGCAGGCAGGTGAGCAGTTAGGGGCCAGCAGTCCTGGATTGCGAGAGGGATGTCCGACTGCCAGGATAGGGCCTAAACCCACAGTTGGACATCCCCCGAGGGGTACTGTATAAGAGAGGGTGCAGGCCAGGCTGAGGGACCCCCCCACCCCGTGCACAAATTTTGTGCATCGGGCCTCTAGTTCATATATATGTGTGTATGTGTACTTTTGTTTTACCGCACATAACTACAAGTTAGAACACTGTTTATGTGGGGATGGCAGTCTCCGTGCCAGGCTGGGATGCCAGGAATCCTTTGCCCCAGGCCCCAGCACAGAACCAGATCGTCTGCAAGCCCAGCAGTAGCAGAGTACCGTTTGAGGTTTGAGAATGGGAGGGGTGTCCTCTCTACTCCCCAAACTTGCTAACTCTCTGAGGCTGCATAATTGCCTAACTGTTTATTTCTATTTACAAAAGAATAAAGCTGTTCTACCAAAGTTTTAAAATTCAAACATAGAAGCAGCTACCTTTTCCCAAGGTAGGTGGAAAATAGGCCGATAGATCCTCAGTGCCTGTTCCTTTGTATTTTTATTAATTTGTACCTCATGCAGTTCTCAAATGGTTTAAAGCAATTCATGGAATCACTTAACATATAGCAAGGTGATCCATGTTTTTAGAGTTAAGAAAAAGTGAGCAAAGGGAAAATAAGGTTAGAAGAGTTTAGTAGGATCAGGAAATACCTGAATGCACATCATCTAATACCACAAAGCCTCATACTTGCTAGAGTCTGGCCATTGTCTGTAAACTTGCTATGAGCAGAAGAAAGAAATTTGATCAATTACATGATTCATGGTACCCACAATACAAAAACAAATGTAAGGGCTCACAGCTAATCCTGATACTGAAACTAAATGGGAACTTTTTGTTGATATGTGTCCTGAGAACTTCGTGCAGTGCACTCAGCATTCTTATTTGGTTGCAAGGAGTTTTGTGCGGCTGCTTCCTTGGGATAGGCAGACAGACCTGCTAGAATCCAATACGATGCATTGCAAGATGCAATTCCAAGATTTCCTGGCTCAGCCAAGGGGGAGAGCTGTGAGTTTCTAGAAGATGGGATGGGTGTTTTCCAGGACACCCTTCATAAATACCATTTCTTTCAGCTGAGATTTCAAAGGTATTTAGTGGCAAGGATTATACTTCCTTGCAAGAAGCTGGAAAACAGCTGCATTTTGTTGCCAGTTGAGTCCAGGCTTTAGCAGCTGAGCTGTGGGTAGGATTGATATTCTCCCCTAAAGACTGAGAAAACAAACAAATATAAGCCCCTGAGTAGAAGACCACCATAGAGCCCCTTTATGGTGAGTTAGGGAAATAAATAGGCAAGGCAAGATGACCCTCTGAAAGGTATATTTGAACCATCCCAACAGAGACAGAAGAACCAACAAAATGCACAGTTGATGCCATAAAGTATTCCTCAATACTTTTAAGCCAGGTAATCTGAAAAAATCAAATATTCTTAAAAGTACACCTTACAATATCTATTTATGAACAGTAGGAGATTATCTTTGACATTTCCCCCTAGATTTTAATGAAAATATTTATGAAGTGTGCTACCTGTCTCCAGCATTACTCAACAGAATGCATAAAACATATTTTAAACTTTTAGGGTAATTTTTTTTGAAATTTGTAAAGAAAGCTTATTATGGTAATACTGACCTCAAAGATTACTAAGATTCCTTTTCTTATTTATATTCTAAACTTTACTAATATACAGTCATTGACGCAGATGCTTTGTGATACTGGGTGGAAGAGGTGCCAATCCTAGTGGAAGTCACAAAACATATACAGACAGTCCTCGGGCTATGTCGGACTCAACGAATGTCGTTTCGTGGTTACGTCACCATCTCCCATTTATTTATTAAAAAAAATTCTGTCATTTCAACATATGTACATATGTGCTTTATGTTTTTTATTATGTATTTACCACAAGTAAAGGTCAGGAATTGCTATCTTTCTTCTAAATTTTTTTTACTGTTTCACTTCATTACTGCTGTGTATGTGCCTGATGTAGGTGCTTATGTAGGTGGGTTCCGACTTATGGCGAAAGACGCGCCGTAGGAATGGATCTTGGGATGTAACCCAAGGACCTACTGTAAACATTCTAATATCAATTTACTTAACCTCTTCTGTAAAACAGAAGTTGGATGCAATATCTATGGTAGGTTAAAGATGGCCAAAAGTTCTTTGCTCTTCCTCCTACTGAGAGGTAGTATCTAATTATCTTCCTTTTGAATCTCCTTAGCTGGTTCCCTGACCAACAGAATGCAATGGAAGTGAGCCTTGCAGCTTCTGCCTTGGTTTTTTGTAGCACTTGCTGTTAAAGCCTGGGCTGCCAGGTCAGAAGTCCAGCTGCTCTGAGACGGCCCTGCTGTAAGGAAGCCCAAGCTAGCCATGGGGAGAGAAAAAGCAATGCCGCCCTCCACCTGCCCCACCCCGCCCCGCCCCCACGCTTTCCCTGATCCAGCCACATCAGTGCAGGCGCCAGGCGTGTGCATGACGTTACCTCTGGTCCCGTTGATGCCATGTGGAACAAAAGAACCACCCAGCTGAACCCTGCTTGAATTCTTAGCTCAGGAAAATCACATTCAATAATAAAATGGTTCTTACCTTAAGCGACTAAGTTTTGGACTAACAATGGAAGACAGTTGCAACAGCATCTGAATCATACATTACACTTCACACTCCGAGGCTGCTTTCCAGAGAACCATTCCATGAATCAAATGCATTTGGCTATTCACTTGCACAATAAACTACTAATATGCCAGAAAGTTTGCTAGAGACAGGGATGCAAAGTTGAATATGACATGGTTCTTGACCTCAAGCAGCTTTCACTCTAGTGGGGCACACAGAAAACAAAGTTAATAGTTTGGGTTTAATAATATAAGCAGGGCCACCAGGATGCCCAATTCCAGGGGTACATAAATGATGCCACCAGAGTTGTGCACACTCAGCTATTCAAAAGGCCACAGGGTAAATGTCCCCTTAGAGCTGGGCAGCATAGAGACCCTGGTGATAAACATTAGACTAGGCTAGCTATATGCACAGAGAGCTAGGGAAGCAGAGAAGAGAAACAGGAAATGATGATTTCACCTGCAGGTGTTTTGTGTGTATTTTTAATCCTCACTCAAGGATATTTTTCTATTGATTTTTAGAGAGAGTAGAAGGGAGGGAGATAAAGAGAGAGAGAGACATTGATATGAGAGAGACACATTGATTGTTTGCCTGCTGCAAGGGCCTGGACTGGGGCCGGGATGGAGCCTGCAACTGAGGTACATGCCCTTGACTGGAATTGAAGCTGGGACCCTTCAGTTCACAGGCTGACACTCTATCCACTGAGCCAAACTGTCCAAGGCTGTAATTTTTTGCTTTTTTTTTCTTTATTTTCAAGAATGTCTCACAAAACAGCAAAATATACCTCTGAAGACAGGAGGCAAAATAATGCTAGCTCTGTGAATTGTCTCTTCTTCTCGTAGTTTGTTTTTGTTTTTTAATTTTCACTATTAAGACAGAGAATTAATGAGCCCAGTGAAATGTGTTGATAAAGTAGGAATAGTGCATTTATCCTAATGTATGTAATACAGCTGGGCTTAAATAATTAATTTAAATTATTACTAAACACATATTTTCATATCTACTTTAATAGCTATAGAAAATTATCATGTAATAAAAGAGAGCTAAAATTATTGTTGTAAGAACACTCTTGAAAAAATCAAATCATACTTTCATAGTGGTTGTATCATGATTTCAGGTGA